TACCGATGCAAATAAGTTTTCTATAACTCAGAAACGAAAATGTCTAATTTTTCTAATATTGCTAATCTCACGATTTTTTAAAATTTATTTTTATTTATTTATTTTATACTTTGACTCATCTTTCAACTATTTATAGTTAAAATGACGGTGATTCTGGAACTCAAGAAAACGTGCGCAGATAATCTTCTCCCCCATACGTCACATACAGTTTTTACTGTTTTTTTTTCTTTTATTAAATAAATGTAAATCTAGAAAATAAATGGGTAAAAGGCAAGAGTACATACAACTGGACAACATCCATCTGGAATACTTTATTTTATCTAGAAATTGAAAAGGTATATCGAAATAAGACTGTCATTTAGTACTGCCATTACGATATTTTATGACTTTTACTTCTTTGATTTTTTAAACTTTTAATTGCATTCACATCGTATTTAAAATTCGATTATTTAATATACGACGTGAATTTTCTTTTCAAAAATCCCATATAGGTATATTTGGGTTTTTATTTCTTGGCGCACGATGTCGATTTCACGGCATTTCACGTCTTTCTCGGGCGTGCCCCAAGATGTCGCATGATCGCGACCGTATTGAGCAGTGCTGACGATGACGTCACTGTGGTGACGTTCAAGTTTCCGATGGGATGAAACTGTCAACAGCTGATACCTATCAAGGGCAGAGTTATGAAAATCGCAGTGTAGAATTAGAATAGAAGTCGCTTATCTGTTGACGATGCCTGCCAGCAGGCAGCGTCTGTGCTGTACGAGGAATGAGGGGGACCGTCCAACTGATGGCTGGTGGCATGACTGAGTGCTTAAGTTTCTTCTCTATATACTTGGGCATTATTTCTTGGCGCGCGAGGACTTGTCTTCACGATGGAATATTTCAAGGCAATTGGTGTCTTTGTCGATCGCAGAGGTCGCATGATCGCCAGCACTTCTCGATACGGTCGCGATCATGAGGCATATAGCGGCTAGGTGCGTCGTGGGTACGACCGACAAAGTCGCGAAATGCCGTAAGATACATTATTACATTGAATGACGCACGTGAGTGCAATTTCTTTACAGAGAGTAAGACAATAAAAGAAAATAAATGTCACTGTTAAAGACACTCACTAAATCACACAGTTACTGTTCATCCGTGCATACTGGTTGATTGACAGCCGTCTTTCTTTACACCGCAGGATATGGTATCGATCGCAGACGCTTCCTCAGAGTTCGCACATGCAGGTTTCCCCTGGATTGTGGAAAGGGTTCATTGTGCACAGCAATGGTGAAAACAGTGCACAGCGGACCTCATGACCTCGCGGCGCATCTCGTAGCCAGCCGACATCAAGCTCTTGTTGCACATTGCCTCGATAGAATAGAACTCTTGCCATATTTCCTCTCTTTTTCCTGTTCATGCTTTGAAAGAGTGATTCCGCTGCCTTAGTGTTTGGTAGGAAGAATTGTAGTCTGAGCTCCTCCACCAAGAATGCCTCTTGGGAAAGAACGTATGCCAGTCTAGATCTTGTTTTTTTTAGATATGCTCTATGCTCGTTTTAAAAATGTGTTTTTTCCTTTTTCCAGGTCATATAGATTATATATTATGAGTTTTCCCAGATGATATCAATACTATAAGTAATGTCGTGAGACTTTTGATTGAAAAAGCTTCATAGCTGTGTTCATGTTCAAGAGCCTAATATATTTTACTTCATTGATGGCGATAATTGCTTGAGAGGTTTTCTCTGCAATGTGTTCGGTGAAGCTTCTACCACTAGTTTGTACTGTCGTCCCTAAGTATTTGAAAAGGGGGACTGCTTCTATCTTATTAACACCAATTTTAAATGTGTTATGTGTGGCTTTCCCTCCCTTTCTGAAAATCATTGATTTTATCTCGATGTTAATCTTGAGGTTGCGGGTTTTGCACCATTTTTCAATTTCCTCAATGGCTTCTTGTAAAGTGTCCACGTCCTCTGAGCATATTACCACGTCGTCGGCATATGCGTATATAGTTACTCTCTTGATTCTTGCAATGTCGATCAGGTTTGTAGTTGCAAGGATGAATAGTAGACGACGAGCGTGTCAATGATCGTGGATGATTTATGGCTTGGCTTATCGATTCTGCAGTTTAAATCATCACCTAGAAGAGTTGGCTTGTCTTCATTAACCTTCGCTAGTAGTTCGAACAGTTGATCTATTATATCCTCGGCGTTGTGTCCCGCTGGGAAATATGCTCCTATGAAACTACTTGCAGGTCTTGCCGTATCCACGATTTGAGCACATCTTGTGTTATGGTTGGCCATTATGGTTTAATTAGGATCGAGAATCCGTCTGATGTTCTGTCCGATTCATGAATTTTGGTAGCTAAGAGGTGAGTGCTGTAGAATTCTTTGTGGTTCCAATGCTCGAGTAGAAATGTTTCTGTTATAATAACAGTGTCATTCCGTTAGAAGATCGCGGGATAGGAGGGACCAGGCACTTTTATTTCCTTCCGCGTTCCAGCTGAAGGCTATGAGGTGGTCGTGAGGGCCTCTTGGAGTTCCATGCTTTTGGTCTACCCCGAAGTCAAAAGAACTTGACCGTCACACATTCCCGCCATATGTCGGGGTTTTTATCCTCTCTACATGTGGCTCGAGAACCCATTTAAACTCCTTCTTTGTTCTAGTGTTTAATTCATCGCAGATATCCTCCTTAAATTGAAGAGATTTTAAGAATTCTAGAAACTGTTCTTGGTTCGGTCCAATGAAAGTTTTCCTATGAATAGTCATTCTCTTTTTGGATCTGATTTAAAGAATTGGTTGGTCATTTTCCTGTTTCTATTATTGAATGTTTAAGTGGAGTGTTTCTCTCTTTGCCCATGTCTTTTACTTTTGTTTTTGAGAGTTCCTTCCCCGCGCTGATTTCTGGTGCGGCTGGTTCTTTTTCATGATATTCCTCAAGTATCTGTTCTTTTCTCGAAGAGACATGAATGCCGGAATTTAGCATAGTTAATTATTATGTAGTGTGCTTAATAATCGAGTTAGCTCTTTCGTTTGTATGTTGTATCCTTGGATCTTCTATTTTGTCTGTTGGGGATAGAACAGAAACATTGTCTGTTATTGTAAAGGGTCTCCAGTTAAATTTCTTGTTTCTACTTTTGCCTCTGTTTTTTGCATTATTCTTGCATCTATTTTGTCTAGGTTGTCTGTGAGTATGGTGGTCATTTCTCTTATTTCTTGCCGATTTTTGTGATTTCTTGTTTCACACTGTCAAAATTCAGTAGCAATAACTGTGCGTTTATTACCTGTGGTCTACAGTCCGGGCATACCCATAACATGTCATTACTTTGGTTGAGAACTTTGAATTCCTCGGCTGATACACCTGCGCACTCACTGTGGTACCATGTTAAGCATCCTATCACTTCTGGATTTGCCGTGAATGATTGTGTACAATTACCGCATGGATCGCTCTGAGACTTCTCTGATGTTGGCATTTTCGGTAGATGTCACTGCAGCTCGTTATTCTGGTCGTTGCTGTTGGCTGTCTTGACTAATACGAGTTACTTTTGCGAGTCATCGAATTACTTTTAGAACTTCTAGAGCACCAGAACTGTGCCTCACTTTCCCTTTATGTCCAGCACTTCTGTGAAAGAAATTTGTTCCAATGACCGCGTTGCCTGCCAGTTCTCTACACTACGCTCGCTGTTTTTACCTTATTCCGCACTACTTTCACGCATATGCCGTGAGATATTCCATTGTGACTTCACGGTCACGTGGTTGTCTGATAACTCGTAATGACCGGTATTACACTGTAAAAGAACGTTGTCAAAAATCTTTTATAAAAGAAGATATGACAATGTAATAGATAATATTTTATAAAAGATTTCTTCTCAATGTTTTATCATACATTTGGAAACATGGCGTCCGATAGGTATACTAGGGTTATTGCTTCAACCAAAGTTTTAATTGCAGAATATGAGCAATTATAATATTTATATAATACTATTCATCCGGACTACAAAAATAAAACCAAACGAATTGACAGTATAACATATTTTCCCCAGAGGTGAAAAATGTCCAAACCATGAAGTTAATTTTTTTAGCTTTAAAATCAGAGGATCCAATTTTGTAAGAAGGAAGAAGAGCGTTGAAGATAATTGAATATTTTCTCGTCCATTCTCAAATAATTTTTCATTTCTAAGTTCCTAAATTTATGCTTAATAATGTGCGACCCACGACCTCACCTTCAGACGTCTCCTCTTTATCTTTTACTTCAGCATAAAACGAACGCAATCTAGGCGGCGTTGAAAAAACATAGATTAAGTTATTATTAAGCATCAAGTAGCACAAACACAACTATTTGTGTGACTTCCATCTTGAATTGCAAGAAAAACTACATGAGCTATTGGACTAAATGTAATACGTTAATCAAATTTCTTTGTCAAAGTTTCCTTCGTCATAATTCAAAGAACTTCCACAAAGTTCATCATCAAAGATTTATGTCAAATATCTTTTACAGTGTAATACCGGCCAATGCTACAGACAATATTAAAAAAGCCAGTATTGATATTACGGATGAATAGACGGACAGATAGGAATATTATGTGTGTGGGTGTATATTAGTATATAATATATTATATGTATATTATATTATATATATATATATATATATATATATATATAATATATATATATATATATAATAATTCTTTTGTGATTTTGTCTTGAAGTAGAACTTCAGTCCTCAGTTATTTTTGATTGATTTAACTGTGAAATGATAATCATGATGTGGTAAGGCCACACATCCACAAGAAGGCGAGCAATAAATAGTATGCACGATTTTGATTTGTGACGCCACCTCACGGACATTTTTTGTATCTAGTGTAATGAACTGTTATAATGAAATTAATTTTCTTACACATTATTTAAAAATGTATATATTTCTCTGGCTGATGCTACAATTACTTGAAGAATTAAACGAAACGTTAAACGAAATAAATTGAGTTATAAAATATGCATTGCAAAACGTTATCATTTTTTCTGAACACATCCCATTCTTCTTGTTTCCTATTGGTACGAACATTTGGTGAGGGGGAACGGCATATAGAAGGCTGTGGTAACAAACTGAACGAACAAAGCGTGGCGCCATATTGAGCTTCTTGGCGCGTGTGAGATATTTGCAGAGTAGTGTTGTTTCACGATGTCAGATAATCAGGTACTGTATTTGTTTTTATATTTTACGAAATGAAGCACGTTGGAAGGCTTATAGTTCTATGGATTCGTCATGTACAATAAAATCCATCTTATTGTGGGGGAAAATTGTTTACAGGAACAGAAGACCGAAGCCGGGACGGGGGATGCTAATTCCGAGTACATTAAGCTGAAAGTTGTTGGAAATGTAAGTACAATTTACGCCCAGTTCGTTCTCTTGAACGTTATTTCAGGATGTTGTAGATGTTAGTGGAATAGTTATTCTGAATTTTGTACGGTATGCATCGATATGTGCGTAAAAACAGGCTAATACCATACATTGGTTGTTGATGCTCGTGCCGCATGTATGCTTGGAAGTTCAGTAGTTTCTTGATTTCACCCGCGTACTGGTAGGTAATGAGACTTTGCTGTTGCAGATATTTGGAACAGGATCCTTTCCATTTCAGAGAATTGTTTGTAAGAATGGTGTATTTTCTGTAGTTTTGAATGAGCAATTTATTTTATTTTAGTCAAAGAACAGTGAAAACTTACCTGTGTGGTGAAGTACCAATAGAAATATTTTTTTAAATACTTTGGTCATTGCATTGTGTAAGCCCTTGACTTTCCTTGACTCTTGTTGTTAGATTTGAAAAAAAAAAAAACAAGGTTTCAAATTAATACTGTATTTTTATTAGTCATTATTTGGATGAGTCAGATTGTGAATTATAAAACGTTTAAGTGATAGATCTCATTCTACTCCGGTAGAAAAGTAGAAACTGGAAAGTTGATGGAGGTATGGTTTGAACTGCTGGAAGTGGAGTATTTGAGGTATTTAGGAAAGTACTATGGGAAGAATAAAGGAAAATTTTATATATTTAAGAAATAGTCTGTATTTGGCAGAAATTACAATTTTCTAAGAGTTTATGCTTAATTACATTTTAAAATTTTGGAGCCATGGCGATATTAGTATTTTGAACTTAGTGTACTTACAGGATTTTCAATGGGTTACAGATAGCCTTGATTTGCTTTTGAAGAATTGATTCAATACTCACTTTCTTGCTCTGATCTCTTTATTGGTAGTAAGATTTTATCCTGAATATTGGTAGATTGGTTCTAAAAGAGTTTTGGAATTTCCGGAATGTCTACAGATGGCAAGTTTCTAATTGTTGTAACATAATTGTTGAAAGATGAAACTTTCTGTTAATCAAGGATGGGGGAAAACACTGTTTTGTCATTGACACCCTCTCTCCCATTGATATGCTACTATTAATTCACGATACTCATAGTCTCAATGCTTTATCAAAATTTAGTGCAGTGAATAACACTGCAGAATTTCATGTATAGATGTTCTATCCTTCAAGGAACCCATTTCACAAAATTCAATTAGTTTTACTGATTGTGAATTTAAACTTAGAATTTACATTGAAAGCCGAGGAAATTTGTGTATATGGTATTATGCAAAGTTAAGAATGGCTTTTTCAACATTTTCGTAATTAGTCGAGGTACCGAAGATTGAGACCGAATGTGAACTAAGTTTTCCTGAATCTAAATGTAAGAACTATTGTGCTATGAAAGAATATTCTCAATTCTGTAATTGTAAGAAGAGCAATATAAAATAAAATGTTTGAATTTCAAGTCTTGGAAAAGCAGAATGTTTTGTCTAGTGAAAATAGTTGCATTTATATATTTTAAATGTAATGTAAATTACGTAAAGTGGGTTGAATTTCTTTGACAATAAACCAAAAATATTTAAACTGTTAGGGAAGTATTGTTTTGTGCATTCTTATTGTCATAAAATAGAAAGGCAGAACTTATTTTCTGAACTGTTAATTGTTTTTGATTGATAGACTTGAATTAAAAATATAAATATAAGCCTGATCATCAATGTTCATCTTTGGAAGATGTGAGTGTGCAAATACTTGTTTGTGACTTGTCAGAATAAAGATATTTTTCTCCTGCTAGGGATTGAGAGCACAAGAGGGCTAACTTGAGGCAAGAGCAATCTTCAGTCATTGCACCGTGGTCACTTGTACTCTTGCTGAGGGTAGTCCACTTGTGCTCTCAAGGTCTTGTTTAACAAGTGTTTCAATTTCTTAATATATTTATGTAGAAAGAATAGCCCACCAATTCTGGAGATCCTACCAATTGATATGCTTTTTCTAAATGATGGGTACTATAGTTAATTTCTTTGAAATATAGTGATTGTGTAAATGAACATTATTGCTTTAGTTTTGAAATGAGTACATTACTATCAAAATGTATTGCTGTATGTTTGATTTAAAACTTATTTCACTTTTGACTAATATTCATATTACAAAATGGTAGTGTTTTAGTATTGTGTGTGTAGTGTATTATAAGGCTGAAATGGCTGTAAACGAGATTGCTGTTTTTTCTCGCTTAAATCTCCCTAGATAATTTCAAGAGGATGTAGAATCTTATGGTAAACTATGCTAAATACAGTTCTGCACATTAGCTCTTCAGCAAACATTTCTATCATCAGTTTTGTAAGGTTTCAAAATTTGAAATAATGTGTTGTTTTGAAATTTTAACACTATGCACTATTTAATCCATCAAATAGTATGAAAATTCATATTGATTATTCAATTTTACTCTTGTAGTGCTCAGAATTAAAAGTATTGGTATTTATTGTGCCAATTGCAGAGTTACTGTGCTTATCAATTAGTTTAAAATTAAGTTTCTCAGAGTAATTTCTTGTTCCAGGATTCAAATGAAATTCATTTTCGTGTGAAGATGACAACCCAGATGGGAAAACTAAAGAAGTCCTACAGTGAAAGAGTTGTGAGTAATATTTCACTACTGCTCTTAAAATAAAATGGTCCTGTATTAAATTTGTTTTGTTTTTTTCTAATCTAGGGTGTACCAGTTACATCACTGAGGTTTCTCTTCGATGGGCGGCGAATTAATGATGATGAAACTCCAAAACAACTTGATATGGAGAATGATGATGTCATTGAAGTCTATCAAGAGCAGACAGGAGGGAATTTTTGAACTCTAATACTCCATTCTGTGAAGAGTGTGTGATGAAAATTTTATATTCTACCTGTTTGTCAATTGAACAATTAATGGACACAAAATGGTGCATCTCCCTAACTCGTTAATGTACTCTCGTGACATTCCTTTGTAGTTCGGTTCATTAATATTTTTTTTACTTTTTTTATTCAGGTTCTCTTTCTTCAGTTTAAAATTAAGAATTTACTTTCTATGTGATTGTACTAGTTTTTAATTTTTTGAGATGAATATTAAAGAGTTGGGGGCTGTGCAAGGATCTCTTTCAGAGGCATATGCGCCATGTGTAATGTAGAATAAAGTGTTTCATTTCTTCATAATAGTCGGAGGACGTGCCTCCCATTCATTACCTAGCTGTCAAAAATTTATTAGAAAATTGATCAGGAAAATCGTACAGAAACATCAGTTATATGTTGAAACTTGTCACATCTTAAGTGTTTTTTGATTTAAACTAATGTTCATGTCCTAATAAAATGTTTAAATTCAGTGGTTTAATTTTTCTATTAAAACACTAGCAGAACCTGTTAGTTACATGTATAAATTTTGATTTGAATTTCGTAGACAAGGTCTGTCCTGACAGTAGTTGAACTAATTCAGTTACAAACAAATTATTGCAAATACATAATGACTTGCTCTTCGAAGTGGGATCCTTGTGCATCAACACACATATAATGGTTCTGCCCCTCTTGGGGTGGCCTTCTGGCACACAACCCCTGGAATTGTTCTTGTCATGGCCTGTTGTATTGTCTGGATAATGCTGTGGTAATTTCATTTCATTGAGGTTGGACAGGGAGAGCAATGTGGGCTGTAGGGTGGCTGGGGTTGTCAGCTTGTTTTGAGCCATGAACTTCTTCACAAGTGCAGTGTAGCATGGCACATTGTGATGGAGCTTTTAGGAATTTATTGCTGGGGAGATGGGGATGATTATTTTTAACAGATGCTTAGACTCCTGAGTAGAAAAAGAATTCATGATCTGTCCCACTGGCATAAGCACTGTGTGAAACACCTTTCCAAGAACCTACAAACTTTGTGCTGAAACAACTTGTGGCACTTGAAAATAGTGGATCTTCCAAAGGCATTGTCCACCCAAGCTGTCCGGATCATGGCAAGTGTTTAGAGTTTTATGTGAAATTAAGTTGCATAGTACTGTGAGAAAACATGTTTTAGAGCATGGCAAAACTACTTTAAGGCGGGATCTTGTGGCATGCATTGTTCACTGCAATGGGTTGGCGCTGGTTGCCAGACTTTCCTAACAGTGCTCATGACCTCGCATGTGTGGAGACTCTCCCTTTAATCCTCTCGTCATGAATTATAGTCAGACTAATTTTGGGACAAGCCTTGATTTAGTATTCTTTTATATGCTGGTGTAGCGAATATGTGTTATCTTAATTACTTCCTATGGTCATACATTTGTTAATTTCACTTAAATATTTGTGTAGTTTTTATGAAATAAGCAACAATTTTTGTGCAAATTGTATTTAAGGTTCTTGAAAATACTTGAATTTTCAAAATTACTGTGAACCTTATTAGAATACTGTAAAGGGGTTGTAGTAAATCGGTTAATCTAGTTATTGCATTGTTGGACTGGTAAGAAACACGTGAATTTGATGTGAGATTAAGACCTTTTTTCTTCAGTTTTGTCCTAAATGTGGGGTTGTATAAACTGATTGTTTTTTTGTGCTGAATGAATTTTAACTGCAAAGCATTTGTTAAGAAAGTGAAAACTGATGGGCAAATCAAAATTATATGGTTTATTTATTACAGGAAGATAGGAAAACGTTTTCAAGATATGGATTGAAAAATATAGATTGCAGACTCAATTTTATGTAGTTAAATATTTTAAATTAACTAATGTTTTAAGGAGTAGAAACTTTCCCCATTAAATTTGTAGGGTTGTAAATATTTTTAGCTTGTGTATAATATTTTTAATATGATTCGTGACACAAGACTGAGTGGCACAATCATATTAGTGAAATAAATTCGTTTACTACTTGTCATACTCTGCTTTAGACAGACTTACTTTAATTTTTTGTAATTTAGATACATAAATCACTAATGCCTTAAGGTTAGTAGTAGCTAACCAGGTGAAAGTATTTGGTTTTTGTTGCGTTCAGATTTATCAGGACAGAACTAGTTTTGAAAATTGAACTTTAGCATGCTAGGCAATCTCTGAAACAACTTTTATACCAGTGGTTGTCTAAGAAAGGTTTATTTGCATTTACCCAGTGCGAAATATGAAGATGGGAAGTAAATCTGAAGGTAGGGTTGTCTGTACCGGAGAATTATTTATAGAAAAAATTACTGGATTGGTATTGGTAATTAGTATCAGCTTGGTACTCATTCTGCAGGTGATTGTGAATTGGTGACACATGATAAATTATATAAACTAATGATCTACAGAATACTTTTACTGAGAAGTCTCATGGCTTATTCTTCTTCAGGGGTAATGTTTTTTGATGCTTGAGAGGACAGGTATTTGTTGCATTGTAATATTGACACTGCCTTTGGAAATGGTTTTCTTTTTTTTTTTTTAAAGGTCGCATCAACTACTAGGTCAAAAGCGACCACTATTGCTTGTAACGGTATGGTAACTGTGGGTTGACACGGTAATGAGAAGGACGAAACAATACAACCATGCCCGAGGCGGGACTCGAACCCGCGATCCTTCGGTCCGAGTTCGCTACGGCACTACTGCCTTAGCGATCTCGGCCACCGGATCGGCGGTTTTCTTCCTTGATGTACTGAGTTAAATATGTTTTGAGGTAAACCAAGTTGGACTTTAATGTGTGTTCCAGGAACAAGAACAAAAAAAAGTGATTTGTTTTGAAATGTTTGATTTGTTCTGCCAATCTTCACTATTCTTGACAAAAACTTGCCTATAATTTAGCCTAGCCATGCTCAAGGACACCAATTAAGCGAATAGAATAAAATTTAACAGAAGAAATAATTTGAATATGGCAATTATTTAAATGGAGTGAGTGAAATGTTTTTAAATAAATAAGCAATTGTGGTTATGTCCGCCGATAGTAAGTGGGCAAAACGTTCTTTCGTCGAATGGTGGAGGTATTGTGCTGTTGCACAAAGCATCCGATTTATCCAGAGACAGCAATAATATAGCCTAACTGTTCAGTGAAATCTCATGACACCAAATTTTTAGTTCAATTTGCGTGAAAATAATTTTTTTTTTTTTTCGTGCGAGTTTCCTTGTGATTATTAATGATAGCCAAATACAGCGACGGAAAGAATTTTATTTCCTTGAGAAATACGGGTCACGTCCCATATCGAGACCTTATTCTTCTGAGATTCAGCCGCGGTCGAAGTAAAGAAATTAATTTCAATAAATTGATTATGGGCGGAACGAACTTTGATGCAGATTTTAATCAAAATTTGCAGTGTGTTGCAGATAAGCCTGGTTATTAAGTTCCCCTCAGCCGAAAGGATAGTACAGTGATCGTAATTAAGAATTGGATAACCTGAACATAGAGTAACAATATTCAACCATAGTAGGATTTCGAACTCTGTATTTGATAGAAGAGCAATAAATTCCCGTGCTGAAACCAATGCTGTAATATCCAAGGTCATTACACAAACGTTTGGCCGAGGCTACATCGCTTACATTAACATTAGTTCGAATCAACAACTAATCCTAATCAATATCATGCCTTTACAAATGTTATAGTGCTATTTTCAAATATCTGCCTCTCAAGTCCCGTGTTCTCTGGGAAAATGTCACAACATTTAGCGTCTTTCTCGGTAGTGCCGCTATGTCTCGTCAGTATCGCGCAACTTTTCTTGAACGATGACCTTGCTTCCTCCTCTCTGACGCAATAAACAGATGAAGGCGAAAGCTCGCAACGAGCACTGATGACAACATTCCAAACACTTCTTCATTGGCGCAAAATATAAATAATTTTCTTTTGAAAGAACTTCTACCGATTATTCTCTCCAAAAATCTAAAGAAATGGCCGTAGCAGGTATGGATTCATCACGGAGATTCCTCGAACTCTTGATGAAATTAGAACGCAAATTGTTGAGAACGTTACGAAGGCGTGACTGATACTCCAGAGATTGGCATTGCTTCACAAAATCAAGTCACCGATTTCGTAACAAATATCCCCACTCTACCCGCATTTCTTCAATCCATCGTTCCAGAAAAGTTGCGCAAGTAATATCAAGCAGTGCTTTCAATCATGCGACATCTATACTTATATATTTTAACAGCGGTAAGTACATTACTGGGTCACGAGCCCCGTTGAAATGGACGCTCGGGAATTAAATATATTTATTTTATAAGGCAGGAAGTGCAACAATGACCTGATTTCAGCGGCCACTTAAAAAACATCGAAGTGTAGTGGCACGACCGAAAAAGTTGCAAAACGCCGTGACATATTCCGCCGTGAAGACTGGCCTTAAGAGTCACATATATAGAAGTACTATAGTTAGGCTAAATTATTACAACGAGCTTTGTTGACAAAATCTGAAAACCAGAAAATTTTCAAACTATTTGGACTGAAGTCCAGTTTGTCCAGAAAGTGGTGTAGTGAATGCGGTGCGTAAGTAGGGGGACCAGAAAATTAATTTCCTTCGAACTATAAAGAATATATACCCGTCCAACGACTTTTAAGGTGAGCACTTGCAAAAATGCATTGAACAGGCTCAAGGATATTTGATGTTAACGTGGAGGCCCGAGTGTCGTCCTGAACTTGGACACTAGCGGAAGCTTCATTTTCCGCGGGAAAGTGCGTCTGCCGCGCAGACACTGGCCGCACCGTGAGTGAACCATTATCAGAATCGACAGCGCGTGAACGAGAACCGAACCGTAAACTGCAACTGTTCTACTAATTGCTATAAACATTTTACGCATATGATACATGTAGCAACGGCTAAGATATTGGTAATAATCCTGCAGTCAAAATTACCAAACCTTCCACTCTTCTCTCATCTAGCCAATCTCTAGATCAATTAAAAGAAAGTGGATGGATAAAGTCAAAATTCTTGATGTAAAAAAAATAGTAGATTTTGTTCTTGATAAGGCGCGGAGTGCGACGCGATGGATTTACATGATTACAAGAACTTGTAATACGAAAATGTTGAAAACTCACACAAAATTATATAGCTATGAAGGTCGTTATATGAAACTTGTCGGGAAAACTAACGTGTTGACAGAAATTAAAGGTAAATTTCAAGTTTTAGAAATCTATGTATTCAATTACATTCACTCAGTTCCTGTGTTATGTTTAGACACAATAGAGAATCTGAATTTAGCAAAGAAAATAGACACTGTTAGTGTGAGAAATAGCTAAGTTGATGTCATTTTGAATAAATACTCAGATTTGTTCCAAGGCGTGTGTAAAATTCCTTACAAATATGATTAAAAAAGGAAGCCAGAATCAGTCGGTAAAGTAAAAGCTTATGAAAAAGAGCTTCAGGAAATGGAAAATAATAATATCATAAAAAAGATTAACGAACCGGCAGATTTTGTTATGCCAGTCATACTCGTTAAAAGGCCTGACAAGTCACTTCGAGTCTGTTTAGATCCCCAATATTTGAATTCATGTTTACGGAGAGAGCATTATAAGCTTCCAACTTTCGAGGAGATTGAGGGACGTGTTAAGAAGGCTAAGACTTTTTCTAGAATGATGCATCAAAGGCTTTTGGCAAGTATAGTTGGGCGATGCGAGTTCAGTAAAGACAACGATCCAGACACCATTTAGACATTATCGTCTTTTGAAAACGCCATATGGTATAAAAACCAGAAGTTTTTTTTACAGGTTATATTCAGAAATATTCAGAAACATACCAAATATCTCAATTTATTTGGAAGATATTTTGTTTGGGCCGAAAATGAGTATGAACATGAACATATTGTAACGTATTAGCAAACGAACTTGGGGCAGCTATTTTGGGACGCGTGGTAAGGGAGAAGTAACAGGAAACCGCCTCGCCACAGGAGGGAGAGAAGGAGTTTTAGTCAGCACGCGACAAAGGGAGACACTTAGCTTTGGAGACCCAAACCCTCATGGCCAGCAATAAGGCGCAGCGGGGGCGGCGTGACGTAGGTCACGAGAGCCTCGAGTATATAAGAGAGTGCACAGAACCAGTGGGTGGGTTCTGGAGACAGTGGGAGAACCTCGTGCGAATGCACAAATTTGGCGCCACGACGGTGCAGCGACGAGCAGGGCTCGCGTGGCAAGTCACGTGTTGATGAGCCTGTGGAGGACTTTGTGTCTTTGGGTGACTGCGGTCACGTGGAAACTACGATATGTGCGTGTTCCGAGGTGAGGAGTGGTTGAGTGCCGCAACTCGCGGCCGATTCTCAATCGGGTAAGATCGCACCTGCGATCGAGGCACACCATCAGTTGGTACGCCGGTACGGACTTTGTGTCCCAGTGTGACACGGTAGCTTGGCTTTGTGCCCGCTTCAGATGTAGCAGTGGTGAGGGCCACATTTGAAACCGTTCACTAATAGAGTTGGGATCCGCGATCAGAGGATATCAGGTATATCAGGGTGTAAAGTGTAAATTCATTGTAAATATTTCTTGTTTTCTTTGTAAATAAATATTGGGATATGAAAGCTCTGTGTCTGTGTTCGCTGTGAGTATCCATAACGTCACAATATTTTGAAAAAGTTTTTGTTAAAGCCAGTAGAAATGGAATTAAATTCAATATATGTAAAATGTTCGCTTGGGGTAGATAAAATTAAATTTCTGGGACATGTTTTCGCAGCTAACGGAATTGAAGTAGATAAAGCAAAAGTTGAAGCTATTTTAGAATTAGATAGACATACAGAGGTAAAATCACTAGAAAGATTCCTGGGAATGACTACATATTTAGATAAATTCATACCAAATTTAACACAACGGACAGTGTCTCTTAGAGAATTATAAAAATCTAAAGGAGAATTTAATTAGTCATTAGAGTAAATTCAAGTTATTGATTTAATCAAAACTAAAGTTCCCAAACCCAGTTCTAAAATATTTTGATGTAAATATAGTACGATCAGTGTGGATGCGTGCAGCACTGGCGTCCGTGCAGTGCCTTTGCACAATAATTTGCCAATAGCATATTCGTAGTCCTTAGCAGACACACAAAAACTGGGCTCACGTCAGTCACCTACAGTCATGGCCCGTGGCGTTCGTCCAGAGTTAGCGACCCCAGAGGCGGCGGCGGTGATGTGGTAACGCATTCACGGGCGTCCTGCGCTAAGCCAAAGAAACTCGCTCTCGACCCCACCTCGGAGAGTCACTTCCACTCGCTGTCGTCTCCTCTATCGGAATGACCCAGCATGCGTGTCACAGCTACCTCCATCAGCTTCGCAGGTCACGTGGCCCTCCTCGGCATCGTTTTCCACCCGATTTGCGGGGGTGCGACTCACGTTTTTTTTCGCCCAACCGCGACGTTACTGATGTCCGTTTGAGGACCTCCAAATTCCGTTAGAACTCAAACGTTACTCAAGTTCCGAGGAAAGGTGCAGCTGAATTGCCGGGTTGGGAGACAGCGGCGTTCGTATTTCCAGGTAAGTCACCGGATGCGGTTCACGGCGCTCCCTGCCGAGACAATAGAGCTTCATGTCCCTGTGTCCCTGAGGCTTCTAACCCGCTTGCAGGTAGCGAAAAACGCAAATTTCCAGGGCTCTTTTCAGCAACGTTACATTGAACAAAATTTTGAAATGCGCGTCGCAACTTGACGTGTGCGATCGTCACATTACAATGCACTGCCTGCACGAACGCAGTATCATATGCGTGAGCCTCTAAAATGTTGTGTTTGTGTGTAAAAGTTGAGACTAAATATGTAGGTTACCAAATCAGTTGTTTACTTCTGCCACCTGGATTATCAAATCATGTTTTCGAAGTGTATCGCAACAAATAGTCCCAAATGTTCATTAAAATTTGGGAAGCAAAATTGAAAATGTAACGTTTGAAGAAAAATTTCATTACTGAGTTATAGAAAACTTATTTGCAATGGTAAACGAACCGCAGATGTCATTTTCTGCATTGCTCACAAAATACCTGCCCGTACCTCTATTTCTACCACTACAAAAAAATGAGTGTTCATCAAAACGTGCGCTTAGTGAAGCTACAGTTACGTCCAGAAGCAAAACAAGGAGCCTCTCAGCATTTGCTCAATGTGTGAGGGGAAAAAACCTGGCCGAGATGGAGGTCATTGATCCGGAAGCTGAAGTACATTTGTTACTAGCATGTTAAGTTTAAAAAAATATGCAATACAAATGTAAACAAGTTCATTATATATCACTATTTTGTTAAAATAAACATTATTTTTCTTTTTGATAATTGAAGTTTCTAATTGTATATAAACAGTTAAGCATCAGAAAAGGTTTTGCTATTTACTTAAATTTGTGTACCGATATCAGTTACACTCTCACGAACCCCCTTACTTTAAACAATCTATAACTTCCCAAATTGTTGTTCGTTGGGGTGGTCCGCAGATATCCGCTCTTGCGAGCTGAAAAGAAATCACAGGGCAGTGGGATCTTTTGGGGGTTGAGAGCCAAAAAGAACACATAAACAGTTAAACAGTGTTTAATTGCCTCAAATCCCACTTCGTCTT